GATTCACAATTAATGCCCATGGAAGCACCAGTCAAAAAATCAAATGGCATATTGCACTGAGCAGATGTACTCCAAAAAACCTCTGTAAAATGTTAAAAAGCAAAGATGTCACTTTGTGACTAAGATACGCCTTCCACAAGCTATGGCATTTTCATTTACCTCATATTTATGGGAAAACTGGACAATGAATAAAGAAAACTGAAGCAGAATTGATTCCTTTGAATTCCGGTATTGGCAAAGAATATTGAATGTACCATGGTCGGAAGTCCAAACCCAATACAGTGTTGCTATGATTTGGAACTGACTCGACAGCACCTAACAGCAATTTTCCTAGATAGAGGCACTTGTAAGGGTTTCCGTTTGGCTTTTTCTACCATAATAGCCCTTATTCCACATATCAGAGATCCCTTCTGGGTCTTGTGCCAGTTGTGAGTATGTCTATCCAAATGATAAATTCTGGAACTTGGGAAATCACTACAGAATGGGTTCGAGTACCCTGGACCCAATGGTAGACAGACCTCAGCTAAGACTCCAGTAGTAACTTGATGTCCGTATGCCCACATCCTGATTCATGGACCACGGTGACATCCTCAGTCTTCGGGAATTGCTGTCAATTCAGATTCAGTGTCTCATAATGTCCCCAAAGTCTTATGATTTCCTTTTCCCCAGTTGACAGTCACTCCTGTAAAGGGCTGACAGTGTAAATTTTTGGTGGTGTACTAGAGTCCTTCCTGCAGGGGGCGGTATGGGTTGTAAACTGGCTCAAGTATGAGAATTGATTGAGGTGCTGTGACTTTATTCTTGTGATTCACTTGGCTCCCATTCACTTGACTTAGAATGTTTCCGCTTATACACATAGAGTAAGTTTCCCATCTGTTTGACTCCTGTGGACACACTCAAGTAGCCAGTGCTATACACCAATATGAGTCAGACAGCTGATATCTCCTTAGGCTTTACTCTCCATTATTGTAACCATGCCCACCTTGGCTTTGTCAGTTAAATGCTGCCACTTGACCTCTATCACCATGGGGTCCAGTCACCCCCATTGAAGTTACATTGCTGCATAGCTATTAGGTGCATATATGTTTATAATTATTAGATCTTCTTCTGTATTGACCCTTTTATTAGTATGTAATGTCCTTCGTTATCTCTTGTAATAGATTTTTATTTTAAAATCCATATTTTAATTTAAAGTCTGTATTGCCTGAAGATGACCCCTGCTCACTTTTTTTTGCTAGTTACATGGAATATTTTCCCCATTCCTGTATTTTCTGTCTGGCTTACCTTAATGTCTAAGGTAAAAACAGCAAAAAAGATGTATTATGGTTTATTTCTTCTTCCTCTTTTTCCCATTCTGCCACTTTGCCTTTTGCCTGGCTTCGTGGGAACAGAAAACCTCATCTTTCTCCCGCCGAGCGGCTAGCAGGCTTGAGCTACAGGCCTATGATTCACAGTCCAGTGTTTATTGTATTCTTCTCCAACACCATAACTCAAATGCATCAGTTTTTTTTATTCATTGTCCAACTTTCACATGCATATGAGACTCAGCTGTAGTGGGCTTAGTATCTTCTCCTGAGAACCACTAGAGAGCACTTTTGTCCTTAGGTTTGTTTCAGTGCTAGTTAACGAGTTTTGAATGCTTGGTGTCTAGAATTCAATACTCATGTGTGGCCTGGGGCTTTAACTGTTCACTGAGTGCCATAAATGGTTGGACTTGACCTTCCTGTTATGAAGGTAGGGGACTGTCTGTTTTTCCTTCACGAAGGTCTCTGCTCAGGCTTGCCACACTGGGCCGTTTTCCCTATGACGCCTGCCAATCAGATGGAATCCCCTTGTCCTGCTGCCCTTGCTGGTCAGGTCTCACAGCCCTCTGACAACACCACTGACCTTTCCTTTCGCTCCCTCCCGATTGTGTAGCCTGCGAATTTCCACTACCATGTTGTGCTGCCTTCAAACAAACTGGGCTACAGTTTCCTTCGATTAGCTCCTTTCCAGGTTTTCCTGTTTGAGATGTTACCCAGCCCCATCCCAGTGGTTGTGACCAGTGCTAGCAGGTAGCTTCCCTCCCAGCTTCTGTGCTGACCCCATTCCTCCTCTTTCCTACATTGGACTCACCTCAACTTCAGTTCCTCAACTGCCTTCCATAGTTCTGAGATCTCAGTCTGTGCTTATTTGCATTGATTGTTCAGTGAGGAGTAAATGGGAGTCCACACTCACTTGGCTGTCTTGCTTTGCCTTGTATTATACAGGTAGTCTAGCCTATGAATGCGTTCCATTCCTAAATCTGTCTTTAAGTTGAATTTGTACATAACTGAAACTGTTGTTGTTAGTGCCGTCAAGTCGGTTCTGACACACAGCAACTATGTATAGGGTTTCTAAGGAATGACTGGTGAGTTTGAACCGCAGGCCTTGCAGTTCAAAACTGACCTTCCAGTCTAGTGCTTATCCTACAGTGCCAATTGTTGTTGTTGTTAAGTGCCATCGAGTTGGTTCTGACTCATAGCGACCCTATATAGAGTTTCTGCGGAGCAGCTGGTGAGCTTGAACCGCTGACCTTGCAGTTCAAATGGCTTTGCAGTCTGGCACATTAATCCACAGCGCCACACCAGACTCCGTAGGTATGTTTTCTATCTAGTGTTCATTAGTCAAATGTTCAGTATATATAAGGGTGAGTCAAAAATTATATGCCCTCTGGCTGTACAATTGATTTGAATAAACATTTAGAAAACACAAATGCATCATTTTAACATAATTTCCTTGCTTGTCAATACATTTTGTCCATCTGTCAACAAGCTTTCGTATTTCCTTATTTATAAAATGTTTTAGGCAGAACTGCGAACCATGAATGTACCCCTGTCTCCTCTTCTTCATCAGAGGTGAATCTTCATCCTTGAAGGGCTGCTTTCAGGGGACCAGACAGGTAAAAGTCCAATAGAGCAAGATCAGGACTATAGTGAAAATGCTTTAACACTTCAAAACGAAATTTTTGCAGTGTCAACAGTGTGGGCAGAGGTGTGTGGACATGCATTGTTAGGCAAGATCACAAAGCCCTTGGATAGCAGTCCTCTGCATTTAATCCCAGGTTTATACTTCATCTCACTGTAATGAGCATTATTGATTGGTGAACCTTTTTCCTGTTAGTGTTCCAATTCTGGCACTTGAGAATCCCAGAAAACTGTAAGCATCCGTTTTTCAGCTGATGGTAGACTTTCGAACCTTTTCTTGGTCAGCGATTGAGGATGTTTCCATTCCATACTCTTCTGTTTACTCTCAGGCTCATAGTGATGAATCCATGTCTTATCACCAATACAATTTTTTTAGAGAAACTTTTACCTTCCTTCGAATATCAGTCCCAATTTTGTTTCTAGATGACCAAATGCGTCTATTCTCTTCTGTGAGTTGTTCTGGTACCCATCTTGCACAAATGTCTCAAAACCCAAATCTGTCGTGGATTATTGCATAGGCAGAGCCATGGCTGATTTACAAGTGATTTGTCACATAATCCACTGTCACTCGTCAATTGGACAGAATCATTTCACGTTCATGCTCAGTGTTGTCATCATTGGATTGGTGTGTTAATATAATTGGAGTGTGGATAATTTTTGATTCAGGCTTGTAATGCATAGTGTACCTTTCTATGCATAAAAAAAATTAAAGGTCCACTTCCAGACGCACTAAAACATCCCTGATATAAAAATACAGTGATTATGTTTTGATGCACATCGCAAACGAGCACCCTTTTGTCATTATGGACCACTGCATGTACCTTGAATTTTTAGTATAGTAGGTTTAGGGGTTGGGCAGCAAGGGGCAGGTTTTGTATCTGTGGGCTGTATGTCAGTTGGACGTTTGTGCATCAAATGGGGACTACCTGTATTTTTTTTAAATGATGCTGATTCTTTCTCATTTTCTCTTTTGTAGGACTTGTAAAATGCAGGCCTTCAGCTCTCAATCTGTGCACCTGAGTGAGTGGCAGAAGAATTACTTTGAATTGACATCTGGCACATGCTCACCAGAACAGAAGGCAGATGCATACCGCGCACAGATACTGCGCATTCAGTATGCACGGGCAAACTCGGAGATCTCTCAGGTCTGTGCTGCCAAACTCTTCAAAAAATATGCAGAAAAATACTCAACAATTATTGATTCTGACAACGTTGAAACTGGATTGAATAACTATGCGGAAAACATTTTAACTTTGGCACCAGCTCAGCAAACTGACAGTGACAAGTGGCAGTCTGGGTTGACAATAAGTAATGTTTTCAAAATGAGTAATGTGCAGGAGATGATGCAAGCTGGCAGAAAATTCAAAGACTCTCTGTTGGTACCTGCTGAGGCATCAATAGTTATCCGTAAGGAGGCCAGTATTTTAGATTTTCCGAAACTTGACGTGTATGGGTCTAGAGAAAATAAGCTTTCAACTAATTCAAGTCATGGTACAGATAAGACTCAAGACACCACAGAGACCATACCTTCTTCAGAGTGTCCTCAGAATGTCCTGGCACCTGTGGTGACTAACACTAAAACTTGCCCGACATTCTCAGTGCCTTCAGTGCCTTCAGGTGAATCAAACACTGCAAAATTCCTTGCTACACCATTATTTGCACATGTCAAAAAGGAGAATCACAACTCTCCAAATGCCAACGTAGGACTAAATGTGTTCTCATCTAATCAGTCTTGTTTCTCTTCTGGCTGTGAAGATCCAGGGGAAAGGAAAGTTTTGTGTGGTGTTAGTGCCAGTTACATTGATACACTTTCCAGTCCAGTACTGAGTAAGGCTTTTAGTAAAACGGAAGGTAATTGCCAAAGGCAGGAGAGCAGCCTGCCTACCTTTAAGACTGCCAGAGAACAACTGTGGGTAGATCAGCAAAAAAAGTACCACCAATCCCAGCGGGCAACAGGGTCTTCATATGGAGGTGTGAAAAAGTCTCTGGGAGCTGGTAGATCTCGAGGAATATTTGGAAAATTTGTTCCTCCTGTACTGAAGCAAGATGGGGGAGACCCGAGTGGGGGGATGCAGTGTAAAGCTTACGGCCCAGGGCCTACAGAACCATCACATCCAGTTGATGAGCGTTTGAAGAACCTTGAGCCAAAGATGATTGAACTTATTATGAATGAGATTATGGATCATGGACCGCCAGTAAATTGGGACGATATAGCAGGAGTAGAATTTGCCAAAACCACAATAAAGGAGATAGTTGTGTGGCCCATGCTGAGGCCAGATATCTTTACTGGCTTAAGGGGACCCCCTAAAGGAATTCTGCTCTTTGGTCCTCCTGGGACTGGTAAAACTCTAATTGGCAAGTGCATTGCAAGTCAGTCTGGGGCAACATTCTTTAGCATTTCTGCTTCGTCCTTGACTTCTAAATGGGTAGGTGAGGGGGAAAAAATGGTCCGTGCATTGTTTGCTGTTGCGAGGTGTCAACAACCAGCTGTGATATTTATTGACGAAATTGATTCCTTATTATCCCAACGAGGAGATAGTGAACATGAATCTTCCAGAAGAATAAAAACTGAATTTTTAGTTCAGTTGGATGGAGCAACCACATCCTCTGAAGATCGAATTCTAGTGGTAGGAGCAACCAATCGGCCACAGGAAATTGATGAGGCTGCTCGGAGAAGACTGGTGAAGAGGCTTTATATCCCCCTCCCGGAGGCCCCCGCCCGAAGGCAGATAGTGGTCCTTCTCATGTCCAAGGAGCAGTGTTGCCTGAGGGAAGAAGAGATTGACCTGGTTGTGCAGCGGTCTGATGGCTTCTCTGGGGCGGACATGACACAGCTGTGCAGAGAAGCTTCTCTGGGTCCAATCCGCAGCCTACAAACTGCTGACATTGCCACCATAACTCCTGACCAGGTTCGACCAATAGCTTACATTGATTTTGAAGACGCTTTCAGAACTGTGCGGCCCAGCGTGTCTCCAAAAGACTTAGAGCTTTATGAAAATTGGAATAAAACTTTTGGTTGTGGCAAGTAAATGGTACGTTCACAATGAAAATGGTGGCATCTTTCTAGTACAATCTTTCTATTTTTAGCATAGGATACCAGGATTTTATTAATCGCATTTTTTAGTGTATAGTTTGAGTTCTGTACTTCAAATACTCATACATTAGAATGATAATAGCTTAGATTTTACAACTATATTATTAATATAAGTTGTATTTGCCTTACAGCTATTACTTGATATGTAAGCCAAATTATACAAAATAGGAATGACCTTTGCCTTTTATTTTAAAGAAAATACTTGTTTCAGGATGCCTAATATAAGGAATAAGTAGGTCAAATTGATATTTTCTTTGAAATATGAAGTTTGCATTTATATGTGATTTGTATTCCCCTGTTTAAGGAGCTCCTTTTTGAAAGCTGTTTAACTCTTAGTATTAGCTACTATACTGGTGAGAATTCAGAGCAGAGTATTTCTTACTGCTCAGGTAAGCGTGAGATCTTGCAAAAGCTGTATAATATGCCATTTTTTTTTTTGCTTTTGTTGATAATCTCTTTTACAATTTTCTTCTCTTAACTGAACTAATAAAAATAAGTTCAGAAATAGTGAGGTATAACCTAGTATAAAATATATCTGCAGAACTGGAAGGTAATGATTAAATTATTTTTTCTTTTTCTTTTTTCAGGAAACGTGTGATATTTAAAATCAGTATTTTTCACTACTTTGCAGTCTGTGTAGTATTGCTGTCTTTCAGAAATATGTTTTCAGATTTTATAAGACCATTTTGTTTTACAGATAATACTTGTTCCTTTCAGAAACCTTAGAAAATAGGGATTGAAGAAAATAGAATAAAAATCACTTTCAAGGGGAGCCACTCAATGTTTCAATATGTAGAATCCACAGATGTTTTGCTATACACAGGAGTGAAGTTGTACTATGTATTTTCTTGTATAACTAGTCTGCTGTTTTTTTTAAAAGTGCATCTTCATTTCTTTTGTTAATTTATGCTCTACAGCATCTCCGACTCATGTGATTGTTTAAGGTTCCATTGCATGGAGGTTATAATTTATTCACTCTTCTGTTCGTAAACATTTAATACAGGGTGTTAAGTTTGTTATCTTTTGTTTATTGTAAACAAAAATATGTTAAGTGTCATTGTGGTTAAAGCTAAGAGATTTCTTTTGATATAAATTTCTTGAATAAAATTCTTAAGACGTATTTTCATGTTTAAGACTTTTGGCATGTGTTCTAAATTGTCTGCTCAAAACATGCTGCCTATGAACACTCCCAGGAACCCGAGTGGTGTAAACAGTTACTGTACTACTGCTAGTCGAAAGGTTGGAGGTTCAAGTGTACCCAGGGGCATCTCAGAAGAGGGGTTTTCTAAAACATCACCCATTGAAAACCCCGTGGAGTGAGAGCGAATCCACAGCAGCTGGTTTGGTTTGGGTTTTTATGTACTTCACTGTCCGCACCCAATCAGAATGCCTGTTTACTTAAAGTCTCCAACATTGGACATTTTGCAGTTATTGTTTTTATTAGCATTCTTTTTATATTTCATTTGAGGAATATTTATTGCATGCCAGACAGTGTTCTGGAGTCCTGATATAGTGCTGCAGGAAAATGCAGTGGACCAAAAAGTCAGCAGTTCAAACTCAGCTGCTCCTCGGGAACCCTATGCCAGGTCCCTGGGATTCGATGGCACTTGATTACAACAAAATTTTAAAGCCTTTCACAGAATTTGTCCCTATGTCCCTATACCTCTCTGTATAAACAACACTGTAACCTTGATTCCCATATGTGGATGTTACAGAATTCTCGTTTTTACAGGTCAGCCTGGACTCCTGAGGTTTTATAATTACCTCATTGAATTAGAGTTATGAGCAATTATCTACTAGGTGTTAGTGTTGAATTTAACATGGCTTTAATGTTTCAGTTTTTTAACTGCAGCTTTTGGCAGTCTTGACTTTCAGCTCCAGTAACCACAACCAAAGGACTACTTTCCATTGTCTAGCTTAGTGTGGGTCCAAGGGAGACAATCTGGTTGACTTCATTCACCTTCGATCAGGTAGCCCCATGTATTTGGTTAGCATATGAATTTAAGGTTAAAGCCTACTCTCTTCAAATGAGAAGTCAAACCTGAAAAGTATAATTAAGTAGGACGTACATTGTTAAGTGACTTTGAGCCAATTCCAATTCATGGCAACCCAGAATAGGATTTCCGATACTTTAAGTCATTGTGGGAGCATAACGCCTCACGTATTGTTAAGTGCCGTTGGACCAGCTGGTGAGTTTGAACTGCTGAACTTGTGGTTCACAGCCCAGTTTACAGATCCTAGTACCACACCAGGAGTCCTAAGCCTTATAGATAGCTGGAAAGAAATTTTGAGGCTGGGAGACCTGACAGCTGTTTCTACATTGCACCAATAGAAGAACTTTTTAGTCCTAGTGATTTGTAGCATATTTCTGAGGCAGTCGACTAGGGCATGTCCTGAAACTTTTATTTGAGGTGTTTTTGCTATATAAACATATAAACATATAAAATGTTGATCTTGATTGGATAAGGTAATGCTGGAGTAAATCCTTCCCTCCTGATGATGATGGTGGTGCTATATTGTCCAGCCGTTGTTAATTTCATAGACATGAAAGCTGGACTGATTTTTACTGTTTTTGAAAGTTACACTTCCTTTGTAGAATGAACCAAACATATAACTTAGTTGTGGTATTTATGCTTAGAAATGATGGTAGGAATACAGTAAGTTAACCCAATTTACTGTGCAGTGCTGGGCCTGGGTAAATGTTTCTAGTGTACATTGTATTGTAACCTTTTTGATTTCAGTTCTTTGGTAATTCTATCCCAAACCTATAGTCTTTTCTCTTTTACTATTTTGGTCTCTTAGTTTAAAATACTGATCCAGTGGGCTTTCCACTTTGATTCTCCTGTGGAACAGCTGGTAGTTTTGAACTGCCAACTTTGCGGTCTGCAGCCCAATTTGTAACCACTACGCTATCAGAGCTACTTAAAATTAGACTAGTTTATACTTATTTTAAGGAGTTTGGTAGTACAGTGGTAACAAATCTGGCTGCTAACCTCAGAGTCAGCAGTTTGAAACTACCAGCTGTTCTGCGGGAGAAAGATGAGGCTTTCTGCTCCTGTAAAGATTTACAACCTCTGAAACCATGTGCAGGGTCCCTATGAGTCAGAACCGACTCCACGGTACTTAACAACAACATACTTATTTTGGACTCCTGTAGGATAGTCACTGGACTTCTGATTGCAAGGTTGGAGGTTCTAACCTACTAGCCACTCCTCAGAAACCGTACACTGGGTCTCCTAGTTGGAACTGACTTGATGGCACTTCACAACAACATACTTATATAATGATCGTATAAAATACAGATGAAAAAGGCCTGAGTCATGGTTGCTCAAGAGTTGTGTATCTTCTCATCTCTGCTTTTACTGCGTGTTTCCAACTCTTTCTTAGGCTGTGTATTCTATCTTGTTACTCTGCTTAATACTGTGATGTTATGTTACCTCATTATTAGAGATCATATTCCATCTGGATGTATCTTTAGTTTCACTGAGTTAACCTTGTTCAAAAGGAAGAAATAGCTTTTAGTTTTGTTTTCTCCCAAAAGCTTTTAAAACTAGGTAACACATTAGTTCACTTACTCACCTTGTTATTTATTGGTCTTCATTGCTGTTTCTCAGCCCACCTCCAGAAATCTTTTTGGGAGAGAGGATTGTCTAGGTCTGAAGCATACAGATAAAGATACATTTTGAACTTCCTTCTCAGATTATTTATATTAATATTTCAATGTTTTAGAAAACGTTCCATCTGAATATTAAGAAAGCTTAGTAGTTTTCTCTATAATAAGGTCACTTGTATGTTAATATGAAAGTATATGCTTAGTCGCTACAGCTACTCATATGGCCTTTCCAAAAATATACAACAAACAATACACACATATTGTTAAGTACTGTTGACTGGATTCTGACTCATAGCAGCTCTATATAGTGCTTCTAATGAGTGACTGGTGGGTTTGAACCACAGACGTTGCCATTCAAATTGACCTTGGCCTTAGACCTCAAATCAGCATCTATTGGTGGACAAGCTAGATGGTGTGGCTATTGAATTTTTGCCCAGGGGACTGGCTGAATGAAGGAATTCTGAAAGCAGATGGGAGCGGAGTCACCTCCAGCACAGCTTCTAGTGGAAGGAGCATTGAAAAATTTCAGTGATTATGAGCTGGAGTAGTTTGTATATACCCCCTAAGGTCTTAGTTCCCTTAGCCATAAAAATGGAGGGGCTTCAGCAAGGTGATTGTGGCACTTCCCAGTCTGCTATTCTGTTGTCAACTACAAACCATTATCAATTCAACAAATGTCTAGAGTATCTATGGTAGGTATACCTCTCTCCCTCTCTAAAAGTTATAAGGGATAGCTGTTTAAGTGTTTCAATTTCACTCTTGAAAATTGAATGGGAAAACTTGAGATAGCTTTGGTAAGGAGTTATGTCACCATAATGTGCCACCGAATCTGAACATAATTAAAGGAAAGATTAGTTCCTATAGGTGGCATTTAAGAAGCATGCTATGGTTAAGGGTCCATTGGGTTTTGGTGCTTCATAGTAAGGGGTCTCAGCACCTAGCATTGAGCCCCTGAATGATGGGGCTCTGCCAAGACTCCTGACAAGCTCTAAAATGCCTAGTCCGAGACTCTTATAACCATAGAGTGAGGAATAAAGCAGTCAAGTTACAGGTTCCTGGGATAGGACCAGCTCAAGCACTATGGTCCCACATAGATGTGTGCGATCAATGAGGCTGGTCGATTTCTGTTGCAGACCATGTAAAACTGGTCAGAAGTTCGAGGCCTACTGGGCCCAAGTGTTGTAGACAATGCAGGCCACAGGCTCTGAGGAAAAGATTCTGGCCACCGGGCAGTCATAACAAATTGTTTTTCATCTTAGTGTTTAGTTATGTTTTATTCCAAACATGAGCCCTTAGTATCCACACATAAATGTAATATTTTC